TTAAAAGACAGAGTGATAACAGTTTCAGTTTTAAATAACATTTTTAAACTCCTTTGTTAGATAGAGAGATAAATAAAGTGCCGATGGTAGTCATTTTGCCTTTCTTTCCTCCCTTTCTTTGTGCTCTCCCTCCCTCTTTACTTCATTCCCTCACATCTTTCCTTCTTCCTTCCTATTTCCCTTCCTTCCACTTTCTCTGCTGTCCCTGCAGGTATTACTGAGCAGTCTCGTGGTATTTCATGATAAAACTGCAGAACTCAAACTAAAATTCAACTAAAGATAAAAACTGAAGAAAGTGTTGTAACGCAGTATGCTAATTATACTATGTATGCCATTTTGCTGGTCCAAGGTGTATTTTATTTTCTGGGTAAGCCTACAACACAAGCTTTCTAAAGCTGGAGTCTAAATAGTTATCTTGCTGATAACTATTCCCTAATCTTGTTAACTACTCCTGGCCCTGAAAAAGTGAGAATGTGAAATTGCATTAAAACATTAATTTTGCAGAAACATAAACGGAAACGACTGTAAGATAATCAATCACCGATTTTAAATAATCAATCACCGATTTTCCTAAGCTAAGGATTATTTCCTTCATCAGATAGATCCCTTTGGTATGAAGGCTGGCAATTCAAAACACAAATTGCCCAGTTAAGAAAAAAGCACTTGCCAGAGTACTAGTGATGTCATCAGACTGATGGGCCCAGATCTTTGGACTTTCAGGTTTAAAGAGGGATTCTATAAATTACTTTCAGGAAATAAAGTCAGAGAACTTTGTTCATTTACAACATAGGTTTATATCATGTTCTATGCTTAAGTTACAAATTCAAATGACATATGCTAGCTGCCCTCAAGAAATGTACAGTCTAATGAAGAAGATGAATTTATCAGAGACCACATATGTTAAGAATTTTGTAAATGTCTAAGTCTTTGTGACTTTCAAGTCTGTTTATCCACTATACGTTTCTCCAAGGCAGTCAGCAGTAAAATACATAATTACAAGGGCCTCTGTCATTATGCTAGGACCCCTCAGTAATGCATAAGGTAGGCCTCTTAGACTATACAAGAAATCCTGACCTGGCATTCTTTCAGTTCCATGAATGCAGCAAGCTCGTTTCTGTTTTAAGCTTTTTCGCTAGCTGCTTCTATTTATTTATTTAAGCTTTTTATTTATTTTATGCATACAAGAACTGGGGTGTAAGCCAGAGGTGTGGGGAGGGGGTCGGTGAGAGGATTCACCAGAGACAGAGTGGGGAACAGAACAGGCAGACTAACTGAAATACACTGCAGAGGGAAGCAGGGGCGAGGCAGGAGAGGTCTGCTGCCCCACGTGGGGTTAGTTCTGCAGCTGCTGCAGTGGCTGGCAGTGGCTTGATAGCTCTGTCTTTAACCCTTGCACCACCAGGGAGGCCCCACTAGCTGCTTCTTAAGCCAGGCATGCAAAGAAGCATGGAGCCTGATGTGTCTTGGCCTAGGCATTTGCACGGAAGGAAAAGGAAATGGAGAAATAACTACAAAGTTAAGATAAAAAGCAAAATAAAAGGCAAAAAAAAACTTTTCCCTATGAGAACTACAAGGGACAATAAGGGGATAACTTGTTCAAACACTGGAATATGTATTTGTTTTGGGGTCAGCTGCCCTTTAGTGCATAAATTTCTTGAGAGGAAGAACAGTGCATGGTTGAAGCTCAACAAATGAGGCTGTACAAACAGAAGCATAACATGGGTCACTGGAGCACCTGGAAATATTGTTGACTCAAATCCAATATACTTCTGATACTACTGGAAATTTGAACGATGACTGGGTATTTAATTGTGGCTGTTTTAGGAATAGCAATATTGTAGTTAAGTTTCTAAAAATGTTTAAAGCTCCTTACTGAAATATTCTGGATTCCTTGATGTCTGGGTTTGTTTCAATGTATTATTAGAGAGGGGGAAATGTGGGAGGGAGATTAAGTGAAACAAGATTGGCTATGACTCAATGGCTGGATTATGGATACATGGGGATTCATTATATTATTCTGTCCTCTTTGGTATATGTTTGGAATTTTGTACAAGAATTTTTTTTTTTTAAGATTTATGTATTTATTTATACAGGCACTGGGTACAGTCAGAAGCGCGGGAGGGTGAGAGAATTCACCAGAGCCAGAGTGGGGAGCAGAGCAGGCAGAAGGACCGAAGTACACTGCTGAGGGGAGCAGCGGGTGGCAGGAGAGGTCTGCGCGCCATGTGGGACCCTCCTCCGGTGGCCGGGGAGCAGCCGGGGATCGAACTGGCGCTGCAGAGGCTGCGGGCAACTTCGCAACCCAGCGCTCAATCGCTGTGCTGCGGGGGAGGCCCAAGAAATTTTTTTTTTAGAGATTCCTGGGTTCCCAGAGATTCTGATCCAGTGGGTCTAGAGCCTGTACAATGTACATTTGCATCACTATCAATACTACGAGGTTCACCTCACCAGCACTCTTCCTTGCCTGCTCAGGCTGGAGAATACATTAATGCTGGCAGAGGTCCCTCAGTGAAACCTCTCACCCTCTATAGGAAGTAAGTATCTAAGCAGAGTAATTCACACAAGGTGAACATTTGACAGTTAACCCAAAGGAAGGATTTTTGCAGTTTAAAGGAAAATCTAGTAAGTTTCAAAGTACAAAATTTCTTTCAGGGAGGAACTCCATATTTCAGGTAAAAGAAATCACACTCAGAAATATATTTCTGTGACTCTAGCTCATTACACTCAATTAGTACAATTTAGTGACACTACCCCTTGCTTCGTTAAACATGCCAAGCTGATCTCATTCATCACATTCATAGATGAACCCTGATATCCCATCACAGTTTCTGGTGAAAATAGCGTCTTTGAGTACCTGAAAGGGGTATAGTTGGAAGGGTACCTTCTTAAACCTACATTTTATAAGGGGTTGCTAATGCAAATGCAAGATGGGTATGAAAGACAAAAGGTCCTAAATAAAAACTAGACTTGAAATGATATAATGGAGGCTGATGCTCTTCGGCGTGAACTATTGTTGCTAGACTACAATGTAGATCTAGTGTGGTTAGGCCTCATTTATTCATGGGATGTCAAAGATTCATTTTTTCCCATTTTTATGAAAATATATTATAGACCAATTGATTAGGCAATCAACCAATTAATTAACCCAACAGCTCTTTCTAGACCATCATTTTAGTCACCCGAATATCTATAGCATGGCCCTTAGTATTGGCAGGTGCTAAAAAATGCTTCTTTAAAGTGTTTATGGTAATTGTTTATATGCCTGTAATTCATAAATGCTAGTGGTGTCATCTACATCAGGGAAAGCTACAAAGAAAAAACTGCCAATAAGCACAACTCCCTTGCTTTTCTTCCTTTTTATCTTTGACCCTTTTCACTCATCTCTCTTCCTGATCCCCTGCCTCTGGCAACCACTGGTCTGTTCTCTGTATCTATGAGCTTAGATTTTTGTTTTGTTTAGAGTCCACATGTAAGATACATTATGTGGTATTTATCTTCCTCTGATTTATTTCACTTAGCATAACTTGTTCTCTTAGCTGTGACTTATTCCTTCAAGTTTAATGTCATGAGGAAATTTGAAAAAAAAATTAAAACGCTAGTGTTATGTGTAATGGTGAAAATAGGAAAAAAATCTAAATATCTATCAACCATGGGAATTCCCAAATAATGTGGCAAAGGTATTTCACAGAATACAATACAGTTTTAACGAATGAAGTCTATTTAGTTAGAAACCTCAATAGGATAGATATAAAAAACATGGAATTGGGTTTATAAAAGTTATAGAACAGGGGGCCTCCCCGGTGGCGCAGCGGTTGAGCGCTGGGTTGCGAAGCTGCCCGCGGCCTCTGCAGCGCCGGTTCGATCCCCGGCTGCTCCCCGGCCACCGGAGGAGGGTCCCACATGGCGCGCAGACCTCTCCTGCCGCCCGCTGCTCCCCTCAGCAGTGTACTTCGGTCTTTCTGCCTGCTCTGCTCCCCGCTCTGGCTCTGGTGAATTCTCTCACCCTCCCGCGCTTCTGACTGTACCCAGTGCATGTATAAACAAACAAACAAACAAATAAATAAATAACTTAAAAAAAAAAGTTATAGAACAGTATACAAATATAACAGCATTCATGTAAAACTTCAAGAGTCCCTGGGGCCTCCCCGGTGGCGCAGCGGTTGAGCGCTGGGCTGCGAAGCTGCCCACAGCCTCTGCAGTGCCGGTTCGATCCCAGGCCACCAGGCGAGGGTCCCACATGGCGCACAGATCTCTCCTGCCGCCCGCTGCTCCCCTCAGTAGTGTACTTCGGTCCTTCTGCCTGCTCTGCTCCTTGCTCTGGTGAATTCTCTCACCCTCCCGCACTTCTGACTGTACCCAGTGCTTGTATAAATTTAAAAAAAAATTTAAAAATTAAAAAAAAACTTCAAAAGTCCAGCCAGTCTATGTAGTTTATAAATACATAGTAGCACTGAAAATACAAAAAGCTAGATTAGCAAGATTCCAATGAAATTTACGATCCTGTAATTAGAAGAAAAATAAAGTGGAACTGAGAATAGGGGTCACCCGCTTTACCTGTAATGTTCTATTCGTTCACTTAAAAATATAAAATGACAAAACATCTATTTATTCTGCATAGTGGGTAGATGAATGCTTGCTGTTCTAAAAACATTTCGTAACTTTAACAAAGGAAGCATGGTGATGGCGGGCCAGTCTATACTATGGGCACATCTTTGCTCTGCTTCTATGTCAGTGGTTTCCTCATTGGAAAACGCGGGGAGGTACGTGGTGTTCTCCAGTCTCTTCAACCTAAGTCTACGAATCTAGAATGTTCTCAACCCTAACACTGGAAAAGCTATCCAGACTAGGTAATGAAACATGAATTTCTTCCCTCGTTTGCTATAGCTCCATCTCTCTCAACCCACAATTCCTTCTCCAGAGGCAGCATATCTAGTGAAGAACTGCCTTAGTGACAGTGAGACGTGAGTTTGCAAGTGTAAAACGAGGATTATAATACCTACCTTACAGAACTGTAGTGAGGTTTAGAGCCTGAACAGAGTAGGTATTAAAAACAGGCGCAATAACAGAATTTAGGGACTCAGCACCGGGGTGGCTGAACGGAATCACGCTTTTCACACCGTCTTCCAAACCAAAGTGGGCTCACCTAACCCAGCCCGGCCAAGCGTCGGCTACAAGCCAGGAGCAGTTGCCATGGCGACACTCTGGCTCCGCCTCCAGACCCGGCCGAACAGCATGCTGGGGATTGTAGTGCGTGGGCGCTGACAGCGAGGGGCGGGGCAGCTTCCAGGAAGGTACTGCGGTTCCCATTCCTGCCTCCCCCGCCAGCCCGACCGTCCCCTGCCTCTGGGCTGCAGGGCCCAAAACAGAAACCAAGGAATGGGTCCTCCTTTCCAGGCCCACCGAAGTTACGGCTACAGTCCGACCAGGGGACGCCATGAGGGGCCTAGGGGTGGGCGGGAGCGACACCGCTGGAGCCGGAAGAGGCGAGGCTCCCGCCCGGTGCGCAGAAGCTCCGCCTTCTTGCGTCACTTCCGTAAACAAAGGCCTCTGCGGAGGCGCGGGGTCCGGGATGTGACCCTGACTCCAGCCGCTGCAGTGGCATCGGCGATTGCGGCTGCGCCTGCGGCTTCGGAGGGCCCGGGGTGTTTGCAGGTTAGGGAAGACCCTCATCCTCTTCTTCCTCAGGTATGAAATGGAAATAAAGGCTCCCCCCGCAGCGTTCCCCTTTAGGTCCCTCCCACCACTCATTCTGGCCTCTGCTGGGTGCCGGGCGGTTCCTGAGGGGTCTTGGGGTGCTTTGGGGAAAGGAATGGGGTGAAGTCAGGGAGACTGCGGGTTCCTGACTCTCGAAAACAGCCTGTAAGTAACTCCGTGCAGTTTACCAAGGCCTTCCCTAAAACGCCCCTTGCTGCTTGGTGTACAAGGATTTCGTTTCTCTTGGGACAGATGTTACTTCCCCAAAAGGAATTGATTTTCAAACGCTGCCCCTCCGAACATCTCGGTTTATATCACTACACTGTTGTTTATTTGCATTACTTTACCTCCTGTGTTGTTTTTTTTGGTCCTTTTTCGTATATCACCAAATGTGTATTAGCATCATGAAATTTGAAAAACAGGGTGGTGTTTTTTGTTTTTCGTTTTTGGGTTTTTTTTTTTGGATCATAAATTTGTACAGATACTTGCCTCTTGGAGAACTGATATCCCATAGTCTCTATTTGGTTGGTTTTTTTAAGTTCCATTTAATTTGTGTTGCGTGTTGAAACTCCAAAATGTCTGTTCTGTTACTAAAAATGCTTTTTAAATGAAAATTGTTAGCCAAGATTTAAGTGGATTACACTTGGCATGTGGGATTAGAGACTGGGAGGTAAAGCCTTCCCTTTAGAAAAGCTCGCTGAGTCGTAGGTATCTAGTTTTACTTATGATTGTTTACAATCAGGCTGAACCACTGGTTTCAATTCCAGTGCTAGTGGCAGGTAGCCAGACAAAAGCGAAATTACCTGTTTTCGTAAAAATTCTCAGGTAATTGTTTAGGAGTGACATCAGTGGATTTGAGTCTTTTTGATTGGTCATAGCATGATTAAATTCATCACAATGTTCTGAAAAGATCTAAAGACATTTTACAATGTAATGAGGTAAATAGCCATATAAATTTCTCAAAATTTATGATGCATGAAATAATATAATCAAGAAAAATTTAATTTTATGCATAAATAAAAAGAAAATGTAGGAGGATCTTGTTACATGGATGAGTGTTAGAGGAATAAAGTGCTTTATACAAAAAGTAAGGGAAAAGTAATGGAGAAATATAAGGTTTTACACAGTCTCTCTGAAGGGGCTAGTTATAACTTCATAGTGTATCTTTGATGTTGACAGAATTAAACATATAATAAAATTTCATGTTTCCTTTGAAGTAGGTAGAGAATATATATACAAAATAGTCATGATGGAAGTTTAATTTTATAGAACTTTAATCCAGGAAGTAGAATCAGCTTCATTTCTATTCAGAAACTGAATTTTCGGCTTGGTAGTTGAAATAAGGTTTCTAGTCACTAAATACGCCTGTGTCAGTTACACAGCTTTTTGGGTCTATTTACTTCTTCCAAGAATACATTTTAAAAAGGTTGTATTTTAAATCTTCAGTCAGGCAGGGAACATCAGGTAGATGATTTGTTATTAGGTGTGTTCCCCTTCTATAATTCATGCTTTTAAAAAAAAAAAAACTTTTTTTGCCATAAAATCTATTGCAAAATCATCCTTTACATTAAGGGTCATACATAAAAATACTATCGAGCTCAGGAGGTCTGAAGTGGATTGTGAAGCCCACTGAATAGATCCTTCCTACTAAATGAAAGGGCAGAACCCTCCAAATCAACTCCATAAAAAACAGCAACTGTTATCTTTAGTTTTCTGATGTTTTTAGATCAATAGCTGACCCAAAGAAAGAATCCAATAAAAGTTTGTAGATGACATGGGTACATGATGTATAATTCATGCTTTTTTGAGGGCAGGGAATGTCTCTTTTTTAGTACATCTCCCCCCAAACCAGAATAGTTTCTGGCATGTGGAATAGAGTAAACACTTATGGGATCAAGTGAATAAAGAAAATAGTAAAAAAAAAATTTTGTCTAACAGGCAGTTTTGCATAGGGCTTTTGAATATATAGTACAGTGGGTTCAATTTAAGGGACCATTATTTTGATTTTCTCTGATGAACTCTGAAATTCTTGATCCCTTTTCAGCCTGTGAAATGGATCTTTGAAACTGTCTCATTTTGGCAAATATAGCATACATATATAATAATTTTCTTGTATTTCTTTAGGTCATAAGAAGCTGGTCTTGGAGCAATAAAGAATTTAAAACTATGGAAGAACGAAAAGTGAAGAGGAGGAGTCCTAAGTCATTTAGCGCCCACTCTACTCAGGTTGTTAATGCCAAAAAAAATGCCATTCCAGTTAGTAAAAGTACTGGGTTTTCGAATCCTGCATCACAGTCAACTTCACAGCGACCAAAGTTAAAAAGGTGAATTTTTTTACCTTATTACAGCAAAATCCTGTTAAATATTATATTTACTAGTTCTTATGTAACCTTTTTTTTTCTTCACTTGTAAAACAGTGGATTCACATACAACATGTGACTTAGAAAAAAATTGTAAAGGTAACAGTGTATGGCGATTAGAAAATACAAAATAAATAATTGGCTTGAAGCCCCTTTGTCTCATATTGAAATATACAGAGGAATAAAACAAAGTTATTTAAGCTGGCTAGAAATCGGGAAAATATAGATGAATTTGTTTTGTTTTTTAAGTAAGCTGAGTGTGCTTTGGTAATGATTATTTTTTAAAAAGAGTTGTTTCGTTATTTTTGTAGAAATGGTTTGCATTTATTGTAAAATTCAACAAAGGAAAAGTTCAAAGAAGAAATTTATTTTTAAAGATTTATTTTTTATTTTTATCTTATCTGTGCATACAAGAACGTAGTGTAGGCCAAAAATGTGGGGGAACGGGATGGGGTGGGGGGTGGGCTGAGAGAAGATTTACCAGAGACAGAGTGGGAAGCAGAACAGGCGGCTGCTTCTGTTTCAACACTTATTGAAATACCCTGAAATATACTGCCGAGGGGAGCAATGGCAAGACAGGAGAGGTCTGCTACGCCATGTGGATTAGCTTTCTGGCCAGGGATCAAACTCATGCTGCAGTGGCTGGCAATAGCTTGATAGCTCTGAGACTTAACCCCTTGCACCACCAGGGAAGCCCCAAAAAAGAAATTTAAAACACTGAAATCCCACTACCTAGAAGTAATCACATAATATTTAGTGAACATCATTTGTCTTGAGGTTCTAGGGGAAACAGGAGGAACAAGTTTAAAAGGTTATATACTACTGCTACATATATGTACTTTGTAATATAAGATATTTGGAAAACACTATTAACAATTTTAGAGAGAAAACCTTTCATGATTGTGCCATGTAATATTGGGGTGAATTCACCCGAGACAGAGTGGAGAACAGAAAAGGCGGTTTTATTGAAATACTCTGCGAGAGAGCAAGGGGTGAGATAGGAGAGATCTGTGTGTGAAGAATCTGGGGCTCCCTTTTATAACCTGTTTTGGCAGGCTTTTGATGGCTGGCAGAGTCTCTGCCTGTTGTTTTCTGCTGGAACATCAGGTTTCTTTTCAGTGGGCCTTATGCATGAGGGGTGGCCTCCTGGGTTCTGTTTGCCCTTTCTTCTGCATTTCTGCGAATTCTGGATAGTCCCCTATTGGTCATGTGAACCCATGGCCAGGTCCCCATGGTAACTATCAATTTCCCTTTCTTATCTATTTTGTGTCTCCCAGTATTGTTCAGCTGAGCAATAAAGTTTTAGCTCTATTAAATGATACCCTAACAATGATCCCAAGTTTCTTTCTATTTATGGTTAAGTAAATTTTCTAACACAAGCACGTGGTGGAGAATCAGGTAAAGAAACAGCACTGTAGCCCTCTTGTCAGTGGGTGTGCACCTAAGAATATTGCTGCCTTCATTATGATCTCACATTCTCTTTGAGGAAACAAAGGGGACATAACCAAAGACATTTGGAAAGGGTGTTTCTCCTGGAGGAACTTAATTTTAGAATCAGATTTTGAAATAAGGTAATGGCTGGTGGAAAAAGCAAGCCAAGAGATTTTAAAGGTAATCTCTCCTTTCTCTGAATACCAGACCGGTTTACTTGTATCCCATTGTCATTTCCTACCTTGTAATTTTATTTCTCTGTCCTTTGATAGAGGGTGAGCTTTTTGATCATCACTGTGTGCCAGAAGCACATGGGGGACTTTGCACGGGATAATTCATTGAGCGCTTTTTAATTGTTGAATTATTTTTAGCATAAAGTGGTACTGACATGATTAAAGCATATTGAAATAAGAATGAATAGGCTTTTATTCTCCTTTTTTAAAGAGATTTTCTAAATGATGAACTGATACAAAATCCTTACTTGGGTAAAACTTCCTATTTGAAAGAAAAAATATGTTTGCTATGTTCAAACCTTACAGTCATTAGTAGTTTATCTTAGATTTTAATGTGAATATGGTTGTCTTGGGAATCTTTTTAAAAAACAAATTTTATACCTCCCTTAGTCTATGGTCAGGCTTTAGATAAGCATTTCTAATAAGCTCACAGGTGATGTTGATGCTACGGGCTTTAATCAAAAATCATCTGTATAAAATACAGATCTTGCTTTCCGAAAAAC